ATTTTTGAGTAAAACCCTTTGCTACTAATCTTGCCTTATATTTATCTATGGATCCATCAGAATGATACTTTTTCTTAAAGATCCACTTACAACCAATAGGTTTTGTTCCTTTAGGCAAATCTACCAAAGTCCAAGTATTATTTTTCTTAATTGAATCAATTTCAGTCTTAATGGCCTTATCCCAATGTATTGCATCAGGAGCCCTAGTAGCCTCTAAAAAACTCATTGGATCATTTTCAACTAGATAAGTGTAGAAATCATCTCCAAAGGAGGTTTCCTTCCTCTGTCTTTTACTTCTCCTCAAATCCTCATATATTTTGTCACTATTAATCTCTAAAGATTGTTTAGGTGTCTCACTAACCTTTAGAGGAAAAATATGTTCAAAAAACTCAACATTTTTTGTCTCTACTATAGTATTATGCTCAATTACATCACTTTTGAGGACAAGAAACCTATAGGCAGCACTATGTTCTGCATAGCCTAAGAACATGCAATCAGAAGTTTTAGAACCTATTTTCCTTTTCTTATGATTGGGTAACATTACCTTAGCTAGGCACCCCCACACTCTTAAATATTTAAGATTAGGTTTATAACCTCTCCATAACTCATAGGGAGTATTACCTGTTTTCTTATGTGGTATCCTATTTTGTAAAAAACATGCTGTAAGTAGAGCTTCTCCCCAAAGATTATTAGGTGCACTAGAGCTAATAAGCATGTCATTCATCATTTCTTTTAGAGTTCTGTTTTTTCTCTCAGCTACTCCATTAGACTCGGGTGAATAAGGTGGGGTTAATTCGTGAACAATTCCTTCTTTAAGACAATAATCTTTAAATGTTGTATATTCACCACCTCTATCTGACCTAATCCTTTTAATTTTCCTATTTAGTTGATTTTCTACTTCCGCTTTGTAAGTTAAGAACATGTCAAATGCTTCATCTTTATGTTTGATTAAATATACTTTGGTGTATCTAGAGTAATCATCTATAAATGTCACAAAAATAATTTTTACCACCTCTTGACGTGGTTTGTTTTAAATCAGCTAGATCAGTATGAATTAATCCTAAAAGTTCAGTTTGACGTTCTACAGACTGACAACTTTTCTTAGTTATTTTGGATTCTACACATATATCACATTTCTTATTTTGTTTATCATGAATATTGACTAATCCCAATCGTTGCAATTTCATAACATACGAAGAATTCACGTGTCCTAGTCTAGCATGCCACAGATCATATGAATCAATAATATAAGCAGAAGAACATGATTCATTAACAACCTCAGAGATGTTAAGTACAAAAAAACCTTGATCACAATATCCCTTCCCTACAAACACATTATTTTTTGTCATAACAATCTTATCAGATTCGAATGACACTTTAACCCCAACTTTTCCCAATAGTGCTACAGAGATTAGATTAGCTCTGATTAATGGCACATGTAGCACATCATTCAAGGCCAGAGTCTTTCCAGATGTGAGCTTTAGAAGAACTTTTCCTTTTCCTAAGACAGGAGTTGTCCTGGAATCACCGAGATAAACATGTTCTTCTCCATCCCCCACACTAGTGTAGGAGGTAAAAACACTTCTGTTTGCACAGATGTGCCTGGTAGCACCAGAGTCTACCACCCATTTGCTCACATTTGTCACAAGGTTTATTTGAGAAACAACCGCAATAATTGTATCTTCTCCCTCGGCTAAATTTGCCTTAGGAGGATTGTCGTTTCTCATTCTACGTCTACACTGAGGTGCATGATGACCCGGCTTTCCACAGACAAAGCAATTTCCCTTCTTCTTGAAGGTGGGGTTAGATCTATTGGGACGAGAGTTTTTAAAATTAATTTTCTTCTTATAATCAGGTGTTTTCTCGTACCTTTTTGGAGTTGGTTTGTCTTCTATCATATTTGCCTACTGATAATGCTTTAGCCCTTGCAGCAGCACACTCCTTCCGGTTGGTATCTTCGATGATGATGTGCGTGATGAGATCTGCTAGCGACATTTGTTTATGTCTATGCTTTAGTTGTTGTTTGTAGTTTGTCCAAGATTCTGGAAGCTTTTCGATTAGAAGTTCCGAAACGAACTCATCAGGTAGGACTATATTTTCGGCTTTAATATCTTCAAGTAGTTTGTGGTACTCGTTGATCTGGATCTTGATATCCTTATCTTCTAGCATCTCCCAGCGGTAGTAGTTTCCAATAACAAACCTTTGTCTCACGACATCTTCGGCAGTGTATTTGAGAATCAATGAATCCCAAATATCTTTGGCTTCCTTATAGGAACAATACACATCGAACAAATCATTAGACAATGCACTAAGCAAGGTGTGTCGACATACCTTGTTCGAATGAACCCAATCTTCAGTTTGTTTAGCAGGAGCACTGGAGTCAGGTTTGGTAGTTGTAAGAGCATAAGCCACTCCATACATGTCTAAGAGAGTAGAAATACGTTCTTGCCAGCACCGGAAGTTTTGCCCAGTGAAAACTTCAATTTTCGTAACGTCCGGGAACAGTTTCGCAAAGACAGTTTGAGTTCTGGAAATGTTGTTTGTCTTTTCCAGTGTGGAGTTGTTGTTGGTATCCATACTGTCAGTCATAAGTCCTTAAGATTGATGTAAAAGCTGACAGAGACACGAGCAAACTTTATTCCTAAGGCGTGTATAATCACTGTCCTTAAGGACTTATCCGCGGTGTATTGCGCAAGTCCCCCAGGATACAACAGGAACTTCTCGGGATATCCGAGGATCTCAGAAACTAGTAAGAAACTCTCAAAAGAGTAAATTAACCCAGGAACACAGAAATAGATCAGAGAAGAGAAGATGAGAGGTGTGTCCTGAAGAGTGTGAAGTGGTCTCTATTTATAAGAGAAAGTTTGTAACAGTTATGGAAGACTTGGTAGTGGGTCTGTAACGTTTCCTGTAACGTTCTCTGTAACGTTCTCTAAAACGTGTGCTCTGAAACGGTCTTCTGCAACGTGTGCTCTGAAACAGTCTTCTGTAACGTGTGCTCTGTTTTGCAATACCCCTTAATTTACAACAGATTTTCTTGATACATTCTCTCCCGTTGTCAAGTTAACTACTATACGACTGCTTCTTGCTTTTGCTGCAATTAATAAATGATACCTTAAACAACTGGATGTCAACAATGCATTCTTGCATGGTGAGCTTCTTGAGGAAGTTTATATGCAGCCACCACTTGGTTTGCATCTTTCCAAACCTGACCAAGTTTGTCATCTACAACGTTCTTTTTATGGACTTAAACAAGCTAACCATCAATGGTATGCTAAGCTTTCTTCTTTCCTTATATCTCATGGGTATACATAATCAACTTTTGACCACTCTCTTTTTCTGAAGTTTTCAACAAATATAATCACTGCTCTTCTTGTGTATGTTGATGACATTGTCCTTGTCGGTAATGATCTTCATGAAATCTCTCGTATTACAACTCTTTTGGATGACACCTTTAAGATAAAATTTTTGGGTGATTTGAAATTTTTCTTGGTCTTGAGGTGACTCGTTCTAAATTTGGTATTCACTTATGTCAACGTAAATATGTTCTTGATCTTTTTTCTGACAATGGCACACTTGCATCACGACCAGTTTCTACTCAAATGAGTTATCATACTCGTCTTCATTCAACCTTTGGGACTCCTCTCACTGATCCTTTGGTTTATCGAAGATTAATAGGCTGCCTCATCTACCTGACTACCACACGTCCTGATATTGCCTTTACAGTTCAACACTTGAGTCAATTTGTTTCAAGCCCTACTATAGCTCATCATCAAGCTGCTTTTCGCGTTCTACAATATTTGAAAGGCACTCCAGGTTTGGATGTCTTCTTGTCAGCAAATAGTTCTTTACAACTCAAGACTTTTAGTGACTCAGATTGGGTTGAGTGCATTGATTTTTGCCGATCCATCACTGGCTTTTCTGTTTATCTTGGTTCCTCATTGATTTCTTGGCATTCCAAGAAACAAACTACAGTTTCTAAGAGTTCTTCTGAAGTGGAATATAGAGCTTTAACATCTAGACTTGTGAACTTCAATGAATTACTTATCTTTTGGAAGACTTGCGTGTTCCTTTCGTTCGTCTTGCACTTTTATACTGTGATAATCAGTCTGCTTTGCAAATTGCATCCAACCAAGTTTTCCATGAATGCACAAAGCACATTGAAATTGATTGTCACATTATTTGTGACAAGGTGCATGCTGGCTTTCTTAAGCTTTTAAGTGTTGCTTCTTCTCTCCAACTTGCGGATATTTTCACATAGGTTATGACTCCTACTATTTTTCATGTTTTTTGTTCCAAGCTGGGAATGCTTAATATCCATTTTCAGCTTGAGGGGCTCTTAACAATAATGAGTTGTTCTATTTTTTTTTTTTCTATTTTACTGAACTATACAATTATCTTTATGTTATTTCTTTTGTTAACTTTGTATATATACGTCATTTTTTGTAATAATAACAAAATAAAAAAATATAGGTTAGGTAGATCATTCTTATGAGCTTTCTGCTTTCTCTCTTTATCCTGATTGCACATTTTTGTTACTTTCCTCTTTCTTATCTTATAATTTTATTTCCAGGTCGAGGATCACTGATCTTCCCCACTAACCATACTTTAGCCCCCTTACCTCCATCTCAAAATGTTAGTCAGCGAAATGGCAAATGGAAAGCTGTTGAACCAGGAAAGGTCTAGTATAATAAAAAAAATTCAAAGCCAATATTTTATGACATGCTTGATAGATAATTTTATTTTTTTAAATGTGGTTTGAAGTCAACTCCGATGTAAAAAAAAATGTGAAGAAGGACGAGTTCCTTAAATAGTAAAATAGCTTTTAGTATTTTAGAAATTAGTCTTTAACTTCTAATTGAGAGAGATAAAAATTAAAAGGTGCAGTGATGGGGGAATGGAAAATGACAATGATATCTAAAAAGAATGAACTTTCTGCTCTGATCATCCAGAATCCCTATGGTAATGAGGAGACATAGTGAACATACAACATTATGAAAATGGGTGCAAGAGGGAATATCCTCCCACTAATGGAAGGTATTGGAGGATCTACCACAAATATTAAGCCTCCAAAGCCCAAAAGCTTAAAAATATACTCCCTTCCCCACTACAACTCTGATGTGTTGCTATCAATTCTCACTTACAAACACTGCTATGACTCCAAGATTGATATTACACTTTTTGGTGACCAAAGAATGTGCTTTCTGCAAATGGCAATTTCTACTGGTCGATGAATGGTAGTTGCTTAGACTGCACACATTCCTAAAGGCTTCTATTCTCCTGTCTATTCACCGGCACTGATTGGCCTGTGAGTTCCAGCCATCAAGAAGGTTAGAAACGGACCCTTCAAGCTTCTTAGCCTGAGAACTTGGTTTCACAATATTGACATCACCCCATTCGGAGCAGGGATCCATCCACCAACTCCTCCGCCCGGTGCACCACTCTCCTGGAGTAGCTCGATGGCTACCACGATGGAGGATCTTCTCATCAATCATGTCCAACACAGGATTATTAGGTTGAAACTGTCTTGCAAAAGCAGCTCCACTTTCTACCATCTCATTGTAAACGGAAGTGTTAAGGAAGTGTGGTTCCATCTTCGGAGGATTGTCCCAGATCATAAATCGTAAGTCCCCATTTACTGTTGTGTTCTTGAACTCTGGCGCATTGCAAATAACCGAGTGAAAGTACCCTTCTTGAGATAACTTCACATTTGTAAAATACATAAGTAGGGTCCGAGGTAAATTGTCCCAACCAAAAATGCAGAACTCCAGAAAGGGCCGGCTCAAGATGACCCATGGTGAACCTGCATGGCAAGAAAAGCATTCAACATATAGGGGGGGATCAAAAAACCCACGGAGGCATTGATTGTGTTGCACAGAAGGCTTGAGAGAAAAGATTTGCCTGTGAAAAGTTTGAATGCATTAGGCGTTGCCCTCTTTTCCGTAGCTTGAAAAATTTGACTTTTTCTTGCTAAATATAACCCCGGGTCAACTACAATAGGCTGAAATCTATCGGTCCTGCATAACCAATGAAATACAAACTAAATAAATGATATAGGGCTAACAGAATAAGTGCCAAAAAGTAGCAGCTAGAATAAACAATAGCTTTCATACTCTTTCCATCCAAGGTCACCAGTGTGATCAATGAAATTCAGGTCTCTCCTAACAGAAGAGAAAACGTGGGACAGATCTGATAAAAGATAACAGAGATGGATCAGTAACTTCGCAAAGTAGGGAAGGAAGGCAAACATCGAGCAAAGATGAGAGTAAACTAAAAACTGAGAACTCTATTGACCTTAAAACAAGAAGAATTCAGTGCATAAATTTTAGAATAAAGAGTATTTCTTCACTTGAATAAATAATAGAACGATGAATGTAGATGTTCTTGTCCTGCAACTAAAATAATATATAGCAAAAGATAATAGAGACATCCAGCTCTACTGCTATCAGAGGAATCCCAATGTTTATTTTAATCAACAAGGCCATGACGAACCTATGGTCTAGGAGAACTGATGCAGAATAGATTGTTACTACTTGCTAATCCGGAGTCTACTGATAATCTATACTCAAACTCAAGATTTTAGGATCAGTCAGCCCCATTGGCTCTACAGGGTTCTGTCTGAGGGTTCCCTAGTAAACAATGAAATGACTTAGGAGATTCTATTAAAATCAATGTGACTATCATCGGATGCCTCACTGGAGATCTCACATATCCGGGCATCAAAAGCCCATCTCCATGGCTACCAACATAGAAACTAACTTTTCCATCAAACCCCCTTATATTATGAAATCAAATTTACTATCACTTTCTTGTTCTTTCTTCACTGCTTGACTTGCACAAGTACCATTAGTGGTATCTCTGACTTTTCATAAGATCTTCCATGCAGCCCTCAAATGAGTAAGTGTTTCAAAGACAGACCACATCTTAAGATTTTCTTCAACCCTAAACCCAAAATCATGATGAAAGTTTGAATATAAAAAAAATGATATCTTAAAAATACTTTGTAAGCACCTACTTCTAACATCTCAATATACATATCATTTTTGTTACTTCTGATTATGCTTACTTCCTGTAGCAGCTTCATATCAGAGTGAAAGATACCCAATTTTTTCAGTTTAATCAAAAGTTTAATGGAAGTGATGAAAGTCTTAAACTGGCATCTAAACAACTGCCCATTCCCCTTAAAACATTTTACTGCCTGTTTACTTCGAGGAGATGTTTTCTGTTTCCACTTTTAATGTCAAAACTGCAACTTCGTTTCCAATCTATTTCTGTTTTCAATGAAGAATACGTTTTTTGTTTTTTCTATTTTTATACAAATCTTTGAAAACAAGGTGATAATTTTGCTATTAAAAGTGAGAACAAAGTGAAAATAGAAGACCATCCTTAGCATCTTAAAATTAGTTTTGCTATTTGTGACAACTTTTTTTGCTTGACTATTTGACATTTGAGTTATGCCACATCCTCTGCACATCATATCAGTCAGACTAGCTGTTAATTCACCATTAGAAACTATATTCCACCTTGATACTCCACTTTGTAAGGATGCTTAAAAATTCCCTCCAACTAGAAGCCCATGCTCCAGTCCTATTTCTGTATAACAAGATCAGTATTTCAATTTATCAATTTATGGGCAAATAACAATAGTCACATGTAATCCCATGCAATCAGAAGAATTGACTTTATCCCTTATCAGATTTTGCGATCATGATGACTTAAGATATTCAACCATCTAAGGCATAAAATAGAATCCCCAACTTAGAATTAGAACCAATCTCTTCCGTTTGAAAATTATTATGCAATGCCAACACAGTTTGATAGAAGTTCTCAGGCAAAATTTTGGCAGGCGTCCAAAATGCATTCACAAACCAGTTGAAATCAACTAGGATGAACAAATGATGTGACTTAAAATTCCTAAGACCTAAACTCATTCACTAGCAAACTGAACTATATAACATGAAGAATTTTGGTGCAGTTTCTTTGGTATACAGAGATGAGTTTGAAGAATCTCTACCTCATAATTTTTATTTGGTTAAGATAACAAGAATAACCTGTCTTTTGGGTATAACCACCAAAGGCGCACCCAAGGGCAAGTACCCCTTGATCTGTCTCATTAAATACCCTTCTACCATCTCTACCTCCTCACTCTTCTCTCCCCAGTGATCCCTCTTTCAACTGAATACCCTCTTCTCCCTTTTGCAGCTCCCTTACAATTTTTGTCTTGGCTTCATCTCCTGGCTGTTACCACAAATTACTTATGCATGAAAAACTAATAAGTTGGAAAACCTTGTCTTTTTGGCTTATTATCCTAAACATTAAAAATTAAAGCCTAGATCATGGTGGGCTCTAGGTTAATTTTAAATTTAATCTGAAAATCAAAATAGAATCCAAAATGACACATGGACAGGCCTCAGTTTAATTAACCAGTAGTAAACAATCTGATGTGAAGATATTTCAGCATTGTTTTAAGAGAATAAACCCTAATCTTCAATATTAGGACAACAAAAAAAATCAATACAGAAAGAAATCTCAAAACAAGAACTTAAAGAAAGTATCATGTAGTCACAAAAGCAATATTATGAGAACATCAATGCAAAAGTCTTTCTAACACTGCTCAAACAGAATTCATGAAATTCCAAAACAAGACAGTAAAATTAAGACACCTATAAAATTTTACAAAATAATATATATATTCTGAAATACATAAATTCAAGCTAATCATATCAAAGATTCAATTATAAGATACCTTCTGCACCTAATATGGGATATGCGAAACTGAGGGCAAGCTCGTTGATTTGAAATTAATTCTAAAGAGACCAAGTTTCCAATTAATAATGTATCTCAAATTTCTTAAGGGTATTTTGGGAGTTAAGTTATCGAGGATAATTTTTAAAATGTAATAAATAACATGATAGGTTAGCATACAGTTAATGTCTTAATCTTTTTGCTTACTTTTATAAACATTCTATAACTTAGCTTTTAAAAAAACAATTTGCTTTCCCTTTCCTTTCCCCCTCCAAAATTCCAGCTCCAAGCATAAACTAAAAACAAGGGAAACTTGAAAAAAAGGGTGAATTAAAGGAGCAGAAAGTGAATTTTTGGACCACTAAAATTGCAGAAACTTTCTATAAGTACCCAGCCACTACTTCTTAATACTGGGTCACTCAAAATCTAATTCATAATACTGAATTACAAACTAATCAACCCACCAAGCCCATTCATTTAATTCCTTTTTCCTTGAAATTTCCTTTTAGAGGGTAATCTAGGTACTGACTCATCAAAAAGCAGTCACAAATCAAAGAAACAAATAGGCATACCATCCTGTGTGATGAGAGGATAATCACGAGCACTCAAATGGATGAACCAATTCCAGCCACTATCCAATTTGAGCAAAATAGCTGCAGCCCGGAGAGCGATGGCCACATTGGAGGACCCCAAGTAGGTGACATAATCAGCCTTTCCAACCACATCAACGTTCCCAAAAGCGCGAATCACCGGCACAGTCCTTACGGCTGCGATCAAGGCCTGCCTCTCCTCATCCCTAGCATCCCTCCCAAGATGGAGGAGGTACCTATTCCTAGGATGGTAAACTGCCAACAACAAACGCAAGATCTGGTCCTTGTCTTTGTGTCCACCAGAGATAAAGTATGCAAAAGCTGGAGGGTAATGAGAACCATGCTGAACAAGGGAAGGGAAAGCTTTTGGGGAACTAAAGGCAGAGAAAGAAGACATCAATAGAACCATGAGAGTCAGCAATGCTGCACTGAATAGAGTGAAAAGCCATTTCCTATCAACTCCCATAGTCACTACTGTGCTCTCTAATTTGGTGTTGGGGCATATGATACAACAACGGGCCTGGGTTCAAAGAAGGGATTTTCAGAACAGGGTCTGGCTAGAGTCTGACTTTCGAGACTCTTCTCGATTAAGGTCGCTGAAGATCTTGGCTCTTCTATCCTGGGTTGGTGATGATGGGCATGGAAGCTGTTAAACTATAACCAGTACCCTGATAAGCATAAAAGAAAAGGAGATTGTAACGGTGGAAAGATGGAAATCCCGGATCAGAAAGTTCCAAAATCTTTCTCCAGTTTTGCAGGTTTCCGCTAATTCAGTGTTCCAATTAAAATCCCAACCTTGTGGAGAAGAGAAGGTGGATTAAAGAGAGAGGGCTAGGGTTTGTTTCTTGGAGGTTAGATTGATTGTTAGGTAACAGGGAAGAAAATGGAGATCACGGAATTCCTCTTGCCTTTCTCTTTTCTCTCTATTGAATGATGATGATGATGATGTTCAGATTTAAATTTCAGGTTCATTTTAATTTTTAAGCAAACATCAGAATGAGCAAATTACTAAATAAATGAAGAAAAAAAAAGAGACAAAATAGTTGACTATTTCTTTACGCGCCAGGTAAGCGCGTGTGTCAGGGTTTTCTTTAATTCAAACAGACGTCACAGGTTTGGTCATAATGAGACGAATTTACCATTTTGTGTTGAATTCAACTTTATATGCAGAGAATCTGCATAGGCGCCGTTCCATTAATTTTAAAATAATTACTATAGAATACTTAATTATTAATAATAATAAATTATAATTATGTATGAGTTTTATACTAATAATAATAATAATAAAATATTAATTATATATTTCCAAAATAATAACACTTTTATACATTATAAATTAATTATAATACAAAATTTGTTTTACATTATAATGAACTTTATATTGTTAATAATCAATAAAATAATATATTTTAAAATAATTATGATAAAATTAATAAATTTGTATTTGTTAAAATTTTAACAATGAACACAATAACTTTTAATTATAAGACATAAATTGTTTTATAAATTATAAATGTTATTTTTTAAAAATATAACAAATTTATTATATCATAATTTATAATAATTACTGAAATATTAGATGTTGTAATTTTTATGGCAATAGTTTTTTTGTGTTAATAAAATATTAAAATAAAAATGATAACAAAAGTTTTTACATATAAATAGTTTTATAGTATTTTGAATAAGAATAAAATTTGAAAAAGATAATTAAAATTTATATATATATTTATTTATTTATTGGTTGGTTGGTGAAAGTGTTGTGCACACACTCTTCTAGAAGGTAGCATTTTACATTAGTTTCCGTAAACTTTTTTGTTTTCCCTAATTCATAACGATGCATGAATATGAAAAAAATAATAATAATAACAACAAACTTGCTCCTTTTAAAATATATAACATATTGGAGTTTTGTTTTATATTTTGAATATAATACCTTAAATAAATTTCCTTTAAAAAAATTAATTAATGAAATATTAGTTGGAGATTATACTAAGTTAAATACAAATAAAATTGTGTTGGTATAGATAGTGTTGGATATGTTAAAAAGCATAATAAATGAATAATATGTTTAATAATATTAAAATTATTATGTGATGTCTTTATTGTTTTTTACTAATTATTATTATTTATATAATTTAAATATTTATAATATTTATATTTTGTTTGTTATTATATTTTTTTATATTTATTTTAAATCATATATTAAAATAAATTATAACGACTATATTATATTAGAAAAAAACAATAATTAACAATGAGAATAATAATTCAACATATAAAAAAATAGGATTTATATTTAAAAAATAATATATATATATATATATATATAAACAATAATACGTGTATTATTTAATTAATGATCTAATAAAAAATTGAATAAAACATATATTCATAATTTTAAAATAATAATAACATAAAATTATATTTTAAAATAATAATGACATAAAAATTCAGTTAAGATTCAAATCAAAGATAATATTAAATAATTAGTTTATGAATTTGAATTTCGTTATTTTAATAATAAATTATATAAGAAAATAAAAAATTAATTAAAGAAAAATGTATTGTTCTTTTATTATATTTTTATCCAAAAGTTTTTTTTTAAGAAATTTTAATTAATTATATTTTTTAGTTGGTAAGATTTTTTTTATAATCTCGTGTTATTTAATTTAATATATAAATTTTGGCTTTATAGTCTAATATATATATATATATATATATATATATATATATATTTAAAGAAAAATTTTAAATATAATTATTAATATTATCTTCTTTACATAAGAGTCTTTAGTTTATTTTGAAATTTCACACGTCTAATATTCTTTGTAACTTAGAGTAGTTTGGTCATTAACTTAACTTAATAGTTCCATTTTTCACTCCAGTCTCTTACAAATGAAATTTAAGATTAATATGTTTGCTCTTTGCTTAAAATACTGTATTCTTAAATAATTATATAGTTGAATAGTTATCACACAAAATTAACATGTACTTATGTTCTTTAAGATCCAACTTCTCTAACCCTTTAAATCAAAATACATTGGCATGTACAATAAGTAACACCTATATACCGAGCTTTAGTAATTGATAATATTATTACTAATTTGTTTCTTTGAATACCATGAAACTACTCTAGAACTAAATAAAATACAAACTCATAAGTGTTTCTTTAATCATCTATGTCTTCAGCAAAATCACTATTAGAATATGCTACAACATTTGTGTTTCCCCCTTTCTTGTAGTAGATGCCTAGTTTAGTTGTTCTTTTCAAATACCTAAATATTCGTTTGGCTACAAATAGTGAGTTTCAGTAGGATTGAACATAAATCTGCTGATTAAGCTTATTTCAAACATTAAATCTGGTCAAGTTGTAGTCAAATACATAAGACTTTCAAGTATTTGTTTGAACATAGTTGCATCAAATTTGGTTCTTGCATGATCTTTTGACAATCTTGTGCCTAGAATAATTGGATTTTTAACTACATTGTAGTTCTCCATGCCAATATGTGACAACACTTCATAAACATATTTCCTCTAACATAAAAATTGCATAATTTCAACACTAAGAAAGAATCTCATTCTTCCTAAATCAGACATATCAAATTATGGCATCATAGATCTTCTAAACTCATCACTCATACTCTAATCATTTCTAGTATATATCAAGTCATTTTCATAAAGACAATTAAAATTTGACCACATACTTTGATTTTGTAAACCATATATGCTCACAAAAACATTTATCAAAGTCATTACGAACAAAATATGTATCTATCTTATTGTACCAAGCTCTCGTTACTTGTTTAAGGACATAAATTACCTTTTTAAATTTGTACACTTTATCTTCTTCACCATTTCTCACAAATCCATTTGATTGTTTCACATGAATGTCCTCTTCAAGTTCATCATGAAGAAAGACACTTTTCACATCTATTTGAAAAAAATTCAACTATATTGTGTTGCTATAGCAAGTATTAAGCAAATATTATCAAGCCTGGCAATTAGGGTAAATACCTTTGCATAATTCATTCCATATTGTTGAACCTATCCTATTACTACTAGCATTGCTTTGAACTTTTCTATTTCTCCATTCTCTTTAAATTTGGTTTTGAAGATTCATTTTACCCTTTGGCTTTACTCCTCTTGGCAAATTAGCCAACACCCAAGTCTTGTTGTTCTCTATGGATTTCATTTCTTTCATCATTGCATCTCTCCACTTTTTGCTCTTAATAGTTTCCGTAAATGAAATTGGATCATATTTGATGACCATCATTACATTCAGGTCATTATCATTTGATAGACCTTCTCCTCTTTCATAATCAACCATTCAAATTGGTTTCTCTTATTCCTTCTAATCTTGCATTCAATTGGAGTCTCATAATTAATAATATGAGGCTCATTAGGAAGAGTATCAGTATCTATGGAAAGTTCCATAGTATTCTTTTCATTTTGTTCCTCGGTTTCTTAAGCACCACTACTATCGACAATATTTGTCTTATTCTTTGTAATCAGTCACATATTCTTTATCTTCTCCCCAATCTAGAATATCTTGTTAGTATTCTTCTTCATTCTGATTCCAATTCTAACATTTATGTTATTCAAATACAACATCTTTACTGGTCAAAACCTTTTTGTTAACTAGATCAAATAAACAATATGCTTTTTATTCATCATTTATTTATAGGAAAACACATTTCTTGTTTTTCTCATCCAATTTATATAAACATAATTTATGCATCAAAATACCCAAAAATAATCAATTGATGGTTTCACTCAACTCCATGCTCTAGTATATGGACACACCACCTTTATGTCAAAATGTATTGGGAACCTATTTTCCAATCAGTATAGATCGCACCATATTCATAATTGTCCTGTTTTTTTCTCTCATCAACTTCATTTTGTTGAGATGTGTATGTTATCGTCTATTGTCTACGTATATTGTATTGTGACTTTTACAAAATTCGTCAAGTTCATTTGAGGTCAATTTCCTGTCTTTATCTATTCTTAAAATGTTTGCACCAACTTCCTTTTCAACCAACAAATTGAAACTTTTAAATAGAGAAAAAAGTTTTTAATTTGTTATTCAAGAAATAAAGTCGGATTTTGCGAGAAAAATCACCAATAAAACTTAGAATATTCCTCTTGTTATTGCTTGAAATTAGTTTGATAGGTCCACGTATGTATGCATGAACAAGTTGAAGTTTGTTTGATGCTCTCCAAAAACTTCTGTTTGGCATAGAATTTCAATGTTATTTCCTAGCCAAACAATACTTGTAGAGACCTCTTGGAACTATGATAGAAGACAATCATTTACCATTTGTTTAAAGAAAAGTATATTCAAACTATTTTAGCTTAAATGATCAAGTCAATTGTGCCAAAATTGAGAGTCATGCTTTAGTTTCATCTGGAAACATGTAAAATTCGTTAATGCCATGATAGCTATTAGTACAAACATGTTATTTTTCTTCATGTCTATTTCCATTATTTGTCATCTTTCAAGATGATAGACTTTAAACTTCTTATTCTAAATCAAGGTAGTCAAACCTTTCTCTTGGAGTTGTCATATGCTTAACAAATTGTTCTTGAGTTTTGGAACATAGTATATATGTGAAATTACATTTATAACTCCACTAACATTTAATAGAACACTTCTTTTCCCCATCATAGCTATTAGAGTGTAGTTGTCGAGTTTTACTGTATGTTAAAAGTTTTCATATAACTCTGAGAACCACTTCTTATTACCTACCACTCATGTGGTTATTGCACCTAAAGTCATTAGAAAAAGTTTATCCTCTTGTTCCACCTTATCTTCCAAGTGAGAACATAATAATCATAATAATAAGAATTGTTATTTTTATAATATCATGTTATTTAATTTAATATGTAAACTTTGACTTTATAAAAAAAAAATCTTCTATACCCACTAATTTCATGCACAAAATAGTGGGTAATTACCCAAATCAAGGATTAAATTTTAATTACATATTCTTAAATAATAAATCAACAATTGACCGCTTATTAAAACAGCAAATACATATTATTTATTCAAAACATAAACTTAAAATTTAACGGCTAACAATATCTAAGGAATAATATTATAAAATTTTCATAAATATTTTTTATTTTTTATTATTACTTATTATTTATATGGTTTAAATGTATGAACTTTAAATTATATAATTTAGATTTTTTTATATTTAAATATTATATCTATAAATAGAATATCTTATTAATAAATTACATTATTTATTATATATATTTTAATTATTATTATTTATTATTTATATGGTTTAAATGTATGAACTTTAAATTATATAATTTAGATTCTTTATATTTAAATATTATATCTATAAATAGAATATCTTATTAATAAATTACATTATTTATTATATTTTTTAATTTTTATTATTATTTATTATTTATATGGTTTAAATGTATGAACTTTAAATTATATAATTTAGATTTTTTATATTTAAATATTATATCGATAAATAGAATATCTTACTAATAAATTACATTATTTATTATATTTTTTTATATATGTTTCTCATATATTTTATAGTAAAAATAAGATTATATTACATCTGTTATGAAAATTTTCAATTATTATTTTTCTTTACCATTTTTCCAACTGCTTTATGAAACTTATTAAATTGAAAAAAAGTGTATTCAACACAAAATATACTAAATAACTATCTCATAAAAGGATAGAGAGATTAGATAGGATAAATTATAGAAAGATTTAAATCTGTTTATATTCTACAGCTAATTTTAAAATATATGATAATAATTTTATCTGTTATCTATGTTGAGCGAAAAAACTTGATCAACAACTTATTTAAACATACGCTATGCTACGAACATTTACAAGAGTGTTTAAATTAATTATGAAAAAAAACTCATGATTAGTCCATGAAATAAATATATAATGAAAGTTATATAACAAAGATATGTAATTTAAATTTTTAGTTAAATATGACATCATAATATTTTTAAAATTATAAAGATTTATCATATTTTAAAGAATATCACGGATTTTTTAGAAAACCGTAGCGTATTTTGTACTGAGAAGACATTCTTACCTATCATTCTATTATATAAATCAAAGTAAATTGTAGTCTATGTTAATATTATGATATATCCTTAAAATACAAACTATTACTCTATTATTAAGGTATTATTTAAAATAGTAAAATTTTATAATTTGTCACATATTTATCTAAGTATCAATAAAAGAAGGATACTTGATAAGTACATGAAAATAACTGAAAAAACATTTGCTACTAAATCTCACCAAGTTCCAACAAAGTGTATATATATATATATATATATATATATATATATATATATATATATATATATATATATATATATATATATATATATATATATTTACCTTTTTCATTATCGAAGATAATATTGATATCAGAAATGACAGTTAGTTGGACTTGTGGCAGTGATCCATTTATAATGACATGATTTGCAGCTAATGATCTTCTGTGACGTGGTATGTTTGGTGGTTGGCGGTGGTGTGGTGTGATTGCGATGGGTTCGTCGGAGTTAGTTAAAAGTGGACAAAAACAACGAATGATAAAAGAAAATAAAAATAGGAAAAAAAGTTGAAATAAAAAATAAAATATCATGAGGTTGGGCTAGTTAAAAATTGCTTCACATGTTTCAACGACAAGCATAAAACGTAGCATATTATATATCACCCTTCCAATTTCCAAAGCCAGACATGACAAACATTCAATTCGTTATGTATTAGATTACTTTCAAACAGAAATGACCAATGAGAAAAGGAGAAGTGTCGTATAACTTCAGATGGAATGAACCGAGACTTCATCACTGCCTTCACTATCACTACTGCTGCTACTGCCACTACCACTTCCACTGCCGCTTTCACTACTGCCACTTCCACTGCTACTGCTAGAAGAAGATGTCTGCTCATCCCTCCCCTCGGCATTCACCTGGGATTCCGGAGCTTCTGCAGCATTGGGTCCTCTGTCCACCTCATCACCGCTATCATCCACAACGACCATATCCTCATCCGTCTGTGGAACATTCATGTCAAATCCAACATTATCTTTTTCTTCAACTTTATTGTCATCCTCAGGTGACTCGGAGCCAAAAAGGTCCGTAATATCTATATCTTGATGTTCCTCGACTTCGTTTTTCGCATCTGGTATGGGCAGTTCATTTAGACAATCATATGGCCTCTTAGTACCAGATTTGATGCCTGTCATATGACAAATAAAATTCTAATTAACCCTAGTTCATATACAAATAAATAGCAAAGCCAGCACCAACTATTTCATCATTGGTGAATGCACCACATAATCAAGAAAGCAGACATCCAATAAAAAAGTCTTCCGTCAGTGGGTAAATATGGTAAATAACCTCTTTTCAAGTATATTAACCGATTACTCAGCTGCATCACATTATGAAGAAAATGAAAAGCTCAGGCCCTGTTTACTTTAAGAAAAGGTTTAAAACTCAACACAGTCCAAATATGCAATTACATAAACATTTAAACTAAATGATGCATACCAGTATTCTCAGGTTCACCAATATCAATACGCTCCACCTCAACCTGTACAGAAAGACCATAAAAATCATTGAAATCTGAGTAAGAAAAGAGATAAGAAATGGTCCAACATACACACTATCTGCCACATTCATTTCGAAAACGCTACTCGCTATTCTCAAAAATATAAAATTACAGCCTTCAATTCTTTCTATAATTCTTTTCTCACTCAATTAACAAATACTTTGATTATGTTAGTGAAAAATGAAAAATAGCTTACTTAAGTAACCATGGATACAAAGATTGGTCCTGTCATCAAATGAGAAGTATATCCATGATAACAAGTACGAACAAACATGTTTATATTGCCCCTCCAGCCCTCTCCAATCAACTCACTCTCCCCCCCTTCCTCCTCCCCAACTTTCTCTGTCTATCATTATGGTATCAAGAGGATACACATTACGGTAATCAAACAGAAAGCACCACACATAATAAGTTTTTATCTCCATAAAAAACCGTAAAAATCTTTATGCATTGCCAAAAAAAACTAAATTTTTTCAACGGAAATTTCCAACTGCATACATTTTTAAGATGCAATGGAATTAACTAGTATACACAACTATGCCACAGATAGTTAGTGACCACTTACTGGCACAGCCTGAAATGAGCTCCGGCCAAGAGATGCTGGCTTTACAGACTTCCCAACGGGGGATGATCGAGGATCCAAAGCTGGTCCAGATGGGGCAGCCACAACTGCAGATGTAGCTGCAGCACCTGCAGATTCACCCGGCATTCGTAGGTGCCTTAGTTGCTTTACAGCCCTATGAAGTCGCTCCAATCGAAGTGTCTCACCATCAAAGAACAACACAGCATCATTTTCCTTGTATTCCTCACTATTCCCTTCAAATGTCACCTTGGGCTTTCCTATTTGATTGTTCTGAAATTCAACAGAAACCCTGTTCTCTTTGGTCTTGCGTAGCAATCCTGCCTTACTCTTATCAACTGAAGCTGGCTTAAATTCATCTGTACAGATTTCAAGACTTTAAAAATTAAAATTCAACACAATAACGAAAAAGAATAAAGAATCAAAGTCCAAAGCATGACAATTTAATCATAAGAAAAATCAAGTGTGAACATTCCATGCCTAGTTGTTAGTAACTAAGGAAAATAAAATACTGAACCACCAGAAAAGAAAAATATCAGAAAGGGATTTTATATTTTGTAACTTACACCGTAGAGTGCAGTATTTGTTAGAAGATTCATCTTTGAAGGAAGGTCCAAGGGTGAGATTGTACCACCGATCAGGCTCAGGAGCAGTCTTGGGCTCTTCTTGAGATTTGTTGGCCATGGTAGAAGTATAGTTCACAAACCTACGAAAGCCTGATTGGTATAATTTGTTATTGAATTCATTCAAAAAGGCACAAATTTAAACAAATTATAAAAACTACAAATGACATATATACATAACATCAAAATCAAAATACACCGTGACTTATCCCAATTTAGAGCAGCACACAAAAGAAAGTAACGAAATCACAGTGACATTATTTTCATTTAAGACTAAAATAAACAAACGTATTAAAATGGTATGGGATCAAATTCACGAAGGAACAAATGGGAATGGAATGTAAGAACAGGCTGAGAGTAACAAAGCAACTAATTGAATCAGACCGCCGGTAAGACAGTGGGTTGGTGAAAAAAAAAATGGAGCGAGAGTAAACTAAAAAATAAAGGGACAAACAAATCCTAGTGAGTTTCAGACATTTGGATGTTTGTTGCAAAATTTGTTACCTCAGGTTCAGGTGTACAATTTTATGAAAAAAATATGGTTAATCTTGTCGCGCAGAGATAAACAAATCCCATTCCTAATCTTCTCTCCGTCGGCCACAGATATTCCACATAGAGACACCAAATGACGCTAAAAATGAGTCCTTTTGTCAATAAAACGACACGAAAGAGAGAATGGTACCTCGGTTACTCACTCTCTCTCCCTTTGATACCCCGACTGGGTTAAGGCTTTGCTTCGGCACTGTAATTTCAGTCCTTTCTTTTCTTCCATCGTCTACACTGCCAAGGGTTTATACAACACCCCCGCCATCACATTATTCGTACAATTTCTTGAATTTAAAAAATAATATAAGTGAAATATATTTTTTAAATATTTTAATGGCATTTAAAATTACACTAAATAGAAAATGTATCTAAAAGATGTGTGATTAAAAAAGATCAAATGTATATGTATACAATGATGAAAAAACTATTGTAGTTTAAAATAATTTACAAAATATATTTTCATATTTAAAAATAAAAAAAATGATTTTGAAAAAAACTACTTATTATTTTATAGTAAAATATACCCATGTAATAATCTTTAAAGCATCTCCTATTAAATACTCATTAGAGGACATTAGAGGAATCTTACTTAACACAATAATTTATTTAAAAACAATTATTAATTATTTCATCAAACAATTTAAATAAAAAAATAAAATAAAATAAACAAGAACAAAAAAATAGGAAAGTATGAATTCTTTAAATTTTTTAAGAAAAATTATATTGAATTAAAGTCAATAAACCGTGAGCTGTTTAAGTATTGATTATATAACACAAAATTCTATATTTTATATTTTTAAAGAAGAGAAACAAGTGATATCACATGCTTCTAGTGGAGATGTCCTTGAAACTTCTATACAGTTTTTCCTAAATATTGAATAAATAAGATTTCAGTATCTTTAAAGTTGATATATTAATTGATGGAAGAACCATTCAAGTTCAAAGTCTTATAACCCTAATTTAATTGGTGGAAGAACCATTTACATTCAAAGTGTTTGGACTAGGATTATGATTCACGAACATTCACACTCATGCAGGCAACTTACATTTGCTGTTGTTGTATCTTATGAACCCATGATGATAACTCTTTTTAAAAATTTTCTGAAATCCTATTATGCACTGAGTCGTATAATGTTTTGTACCAATAGAACAATAAGACAGGGCAAAACTAAGACCTACAAACCAAAGCCGAGTGCATGAGTGAAAACTAATATTTTTTTTTGTAAAAATCAATCAAAAGCAAAAGTGCCACAACATCAAATCAAAGGCATATATACCAAGAACAAGAAAATCAACACAGGTACACCAGTTTAACATAGACTATGAATAAAAAAGGTGCAAAATAAAAATAAAAATAAAAATGCTGAAACAGAATGAGAAAATGAAACAACCAAAAAACAAAAGATATGATATACGTGGGAACATATATTAGAAATGACTGAAAAACAAGTGAGAAAGACAGGTGCCAAGAGAATTAGAATCAAACTTAGAGGGGTAGAGAATTGAGACGCCAGATGTTTTCATTTGAGCCGAGATCTGATATGTGAAACGGAGTGGACTTTCTTTGTTTCTAACTTGTATAATGAATAGTGAACCAGAATGCATTCAAAAATATAAATAAAGTATGGTTAAAACTATTTTAAAAAGTGGTCTGCTTACTTCAGGTGTGGTTTTATTTTGATTTTTGGAGTGGTTTGGTTCATTTGTTTTAACGCAACACATCAAATGAGTTAATTAGCGTTTACTATTCAACAGAACAGACAAGCCAAGTTTTTCAGCGTTGCAATAAAATTAACGAAAACTCAATTTCCTCCCTCTAATTCTGAAGATACAAGAATGGAACCAATTCTCTCCCTCTCTCTCTCTCTCTCACACACACACACACTTCCATCACAATATTCAAACAATGCAAGGGCAACTTTATTTCATCTCACTCCATTCAAGTCTCGATTATAATTCCAAACATTGCCTAAACATTCAGACTAATTTTCCTTCCTCAGATCAAGACAATCTTATGGATTAAACAAAACAACCTTCGTGATAACTAGATCACCGGAACAACAAAGTTCATTCGAGAATCAAGATTATCACATCACTCAACTTACAACTTTGATATCAATTCAATACTTGTTCAAAATAGTGATTATGAGACATGAATTACACATGTGGTAGAGACAAAAATAAGCACCAGTGTTAGAATAGGGAATGAATGATAATTTTCAACTAAGGGCTCAGTCATCGGTGTTATGTTTTGCTATTCTCGAAAAAAAAAGGGGTAAAAGTCCACACTAATTAAACCTAAAAAAACACATAAACCATGCTTTACAAGTAATGAGAGCTGAAAAAAATCACACAGTATTGTTAATAATAATACAATCCATAGCAAAAACCAGATTATTGACTATAGAGATATTTATAATAATTCGCTACTTCTCAGATGCAATTTGAAAAAATCAATGGTTAATTTTCATAGGTCTTCTGCTGTTCAAATCGAGAGGTTGTAAGAAAAACAAAAATATAATCTCTTGCTCACCAGGTTCTTTCTTCCGCGCGAACTACATGAAACAGGATTGAATCTGGCAGAAGAAAATCAGCGAGCGAAGAAGAATATGGAGTTAGTAAACAGTGTAAAGGTAGCGGCACTACAGAAAAAATTGGGGGAAAAGAAAGGAAGCGAAAGAGCAGGATAATGAGAAAGGAACAGCAAAAATAAATTGGGGAGAAAACCTTACCAGGGTAAAACAATTAATTTATGATCAACCTGCCACAGATCAAAATATATTTTAAAAAAATATTATGAGACTGAATCAGACCAGAGCTCGCCGGTAAGCCAATGGGAGACTGATTCATGCTCCCAAGGTCGATTTCGTATCGCTCTGTTTCCACCGCGACGACGTTCTCCGCAACGTCGTTTTCGACTCCCTCACCAGGATCGAATGCTTCCAGCAACTCAACCACGGGATTCCGTTACAGCTCGTGCCCGCCTCTGGGAACTTCGCCAAGAAAATATAAGAAAAGAAATAAAATATTAATGTGAAAACAAATCTTTATAAAAATAATAAATTAAAAAATTAAAACTATTTGTATAACTTCAAAACTATCAATATAGTTATTAATTTTTTTATAAATAAAATACCTTTTTAAATAATTAATATATTTTTAAAAATAATATTATTCATAAAATTATATATATATATAAAATTTAAATTTAAATTAATAAAATAATATTATATTAAAAATATAAAAGTCAACAAATTATTCATTTAATTTTTATAATAGTTGTTATATTTATTAAAAAAAATTATTAAAATTAAAATTATATATAATTTTATATATATATATTTATTATTATTTTATTGTGGAAATATTTTTCTTAATTACTTTTTCATCCTTGTGTTTTCTTGTTTAGCAAATCTAAAAACTCGATTTTCAATATTTAGTATGTAAAATATTTATATCACATATAAAACTTAGGAGAAGTTATACTAATAAAAATTTAAGTGTATTAAAGTTTATCGTAAAAATATTATATCACATATTTAAACTAAATTTATTAAAATTATTTTATTTATTTATTTGTTTTTTATATGTTATTTTATTAATTATTTTATATATATTATTATTTTGTATAATATTTAATATCAATTTTTTTATGTTAATTATTACCTTTATTATTATTATCTTTTAAGTATTATTTAAGAACACTGCATCAGAAACTAAATTTTATTTTATTATCTTTTAAGTAATTTTTTAGATGAGCATATGTTTTTTCAATTACCATTTTGAAATCGTAATTTAGAATTGATTTATTAATTTCATAATTTCTTATCAACCTCGATCATCAATTAATATTATAATATTTGTTAGAAACATATATTTAATTGACTTTATAAATTTATGATATTAAGAAAATAATTAAATAAATATTAAAAAAATTGAATAAAATTACTAAAAGTGAAAGGTTAAATTATATAAATTGATCTTTATAATTTTGTGTTTTATTCAATTTGATGTCATATCTTCTAAAAAAATTAATTTATTTTGATATTTAAGATGGTTTTCTCACCATCTTGAACTTAACATCTGAATATCTAAATTAATTCTTCAGTTCTATGTAATTGAAAAAGCGGTTATATTAAATAATACGATTTTTTTAATTTAGAAGATAAAATATCAAATTGAATAAATAACAAAAAGATATAAAAAAAAAAACTATTGATAGAATTTAACCAAAAATGAAATTTAGTCTAAAAAGAAAATAGAAACACTTATAAAAGCTACTGCGATACTTCCATAGAACTGCGCGAATCGAAGCAACAAGAAACAAAGGACAACGGTGATTGATTTGAAATACTTTGAAATTTACGGACACCTAATTCGCAAAAGCACAAATCAAACCCTAAGCATTTCGTCGTCATAAATTTCGATGCGATGGAAATCACTCTTCTCTCTTCCCCTTCCCCAATCCATCGTCGTCTTTACCTCCGTTAGTCCTGTCTTTCCTTCTATCTATCTCCAACTCCCCACAACTCTTTTACTCATTTTCTTCCCATCTTTTCCTTTGTAGGCCACAGAGCAGCGAGATTCTTCGCCGGACCCTCTTCCACCCTTGTACGTAATTCTTCATCATTCTATTAGTCTCATGTTTATTTCATGTTTGTGTGAACATGGTTTCAGTTTTGTTTGACTGATTCCCATTCGTATTGCAGTTGGGTACTCATGGTCGAACAACAAGTTACAAGCACCCAATTTTGAGGACTTCGTATCAAGGTAAGTCTGTGCGCATTATGCATTCTTAATAACATCTTACATTACAAAAAATGTTTTTATTAATCTGGTGTTTTTTTGGTGTTTGTTAGTTAGTTTGTTGCTGCTTGTTACATGGCTGAGGGTATAATGATTGGTATATAGTAAATTTGGTAAATGGTTGATTTTATTTTTATGTTTGTTTATTTTATAGCTCCTCAATTTAGCATGCAAGGAATCTCCAAGAAGCTTGAAAATGTATCATGGTTATTTGATAGTCCTAAATTGTTTATTCGGAATAAATTCCGCAGAGATGTAGTTGTGAGATCTGAACTTACTTCAGCTGGGTCTGCTGAAGATGGCTATTTATTACCCGGTATGCATAAAATGTTCTATTGGGTTAGATTTTGTGATTTATGTTTGAACTGGGATGCCGATCAATTTTGTCAAGTATTGATCTTCACTTACTGCAGAGCTGAAAGTGGAATCTAAAGTCAGGGGAGCTTGCTTTTATGTTGTCACAGCCTTCAGTGCCATATTTCTTTTTGTACTGATGGTGGTTGGACATCCATTGGTGCTCTTGTTTGATCGCTACCGAAGAAAGTTCCACCATTTTATTGCTAAAATGTGGGCTGCACTGACTGTAGCGCCATTTTTCAAAATTGAATTTGAGGGATTGGAGAATCTGCCTCCTCCAGATACTCCTGCTGTGTATGTTTCGAATCATCAGAGTTTTCTAGATATATATACTCTTCTTACGTTAGGAAGAAGCTTCAAGTTCATTAGCAAGACTGGGATATTCCTCTTTCCAATAATTGGCTGGGCAATGTTTCTTTTGGGCGTAATTCCTTTGAAGCGCATGGACAGCCGAAGCCAGCTGGTATTCTTTCTCTTTTGTTATTGCAGTTAGTTTTAACCAGTTCTTATTTGGATAGCAGCGTTTTCAATGAAATTATTGAACCTTTTTTACTTAAAAGGTATCAATAACCTTCAAATCATGATTTTGTTCGCTTCTTAACATGTAGGACTGTCTTAAACGATGCATGGATTTTATCAAGAAAGGAGCCTCTGTTTTTTTCTTTCCAGAGGGTACACGCAGTAAAGATGGCAAACTAGGCACATTCAAGGTGAGTTTGTGTCAACTTTTGTAATCATTAATCATTATCATCTTTGTAGATTATTATGATTTTAGAAGCAAATTGATGGACAATGAGATCGAACTTAGGTAAGAATCTATTAATGGATTGAAGCTTGTAGATTATTGATGAGAAAATCTAAACCCATAACCCTATATGATTGACAGGTAGAGCCCTAAAACAGCTTTTACAAAAACACTCTAGAAGTTAATAAAATTTTCCAACATCCAAATTTCAATAGAAGCAGACCAAGACAAATAACGTTGTTATTAAGTTTGCTTGAAGTTATTCTGGGATTCCCAGAAAATAAGGAAATTGGACCAAATGCCATTCTGCAGAAGTGGAGTACGAAACACATTTTTCTCCACCAATCTTCACCATTTTCTGCAGAAAATATTTAAATTTACTTCTATGAAATTAATCAAATAGACCTACAAACTTTCCACTAATTTCTATTTTCTTTTCACTAATCCAAACAATCTCATTTTCCACTTCAATTTTCTTTGTTCCTTTCCTTTTTCACTTCCTCACTATCCATCACCCCATCCAAACAAAGGCTAAAATAAAATAACTTGAAGCTGTAAGAGTTATCCATAAACCTAAAAAACTTTGCTGGAAGGCAACAGAACAAAATGAGGTATCTAAAAGTAGACGAATGCTGTATTTATGATAAAATGTGCATTGCATTATAGAGTAATACAGAATGAAGATGGCTATAATGATGTGTTCTCAAATGAACTGTATGAAATATTGCATGGTCAAGGAGGTAAAAGCAACATGTGGCTGGGTTTTTTTTTGGCAATGCTTTGATCAACTCAGACTAAAAATGTTGAGAAACTCATAGTTGAATATGCTAGAAGAGTGCAAGCAGCCACAGTTGTTGGCTGGCAGTTTCTTTGAAATCCTTGAGTAGGAGAAAAAAAGCTAAGTCTCCGATGGAAGGTGTTACTGCTCAATTAGCAGCTAAAGAGAAATATTGGGAGAAAGGCAGGAGGAGAAAGAAAATGGATTTTTAGGATCAACTATAGCATGGTGACAGCTAAAAGTTTATAGTTATTGGATGGAAAAGTAGGAAAAACAGAAATAATACATACTAATAGTACTTTCTTATACCAACCAGTATATGTTTCCTGAATGTCTCTATCCAGCATGAAGTTTGTATCAACCAAGAGAGTGTCTGTGCTCTCCACAATATTTGATACAAATTAAAAGGATAATAATAGATTGAGAGAGAGAAAAGTGAGCTCCAATTTACTGTCCAGTCTACAGCTGCTGATGGGTGGACAATTTTTATATTACAATAGATAACACAATAGAAAGTAAGTATTTATTATAATAATATGATAAAAAAGGATGAAAAAATGAGAGTAATACCTGTCTTTGGTAAAAGAAGATAATATCTTGGAAAATATAGAAGTGTATTCCGTTTTCCCACACTGATAAGAATACTGGCTATGAAAATTAGCATGGGACATGGGAATTTAACGAAGTACATAGACAAGGTTTTTGGTGGTGAATAATGGATAATTGACTTCAGGATTTGACTTGTGCTGTGCATTGTTGTTAAAGCATGAATTGTGTCTAGTAGTAACTAGTACACGCACAATCTGATTACATTACTAAAAGACTCATAAATCTGTATGAATAATAATTTTATTTGAAAATGAACTTTTTTTAAATTTTGTCGGGGTCTCTCAGCTTATATGATGATTATGCAATGTAACTTGAAGTAAATTATTTTTAACTATTTCTTTTTCTGTTTTTTATATATCTTTATTCTGTGTGAGACTTTATATCAGTGAACTAACTTGATTCTTTTACAACTTTCGTTGGGGGACGTGCAGAAGGGTGCTTTCAGTGTAGCTGCAAAGACAAATGCACCACTTGTACCTATTACTCTTATTGGAACTGGTCAAATCATGCCTGCCGGAAAGGAGGGTATAGTGAACGTAGGTTCCGTAAAAGTGGTTATACATAAACCTATTCTTGGAAAAGAACCTGACATGTTATGCAAAGAGGCTAGGAAGACAATCGAAAGTGCACTGACTCAGAGCTGAGAAATAGACTGCAGAAGAGTTCTTCCTGAAGTGAACTATGAAGTTATATAATCAAATGCCTGCATCTTCGTTGGAGAATGGATTCTCTCCTTTGAAATTTGAAATGAAAGAAAGAGTAAAGTGCTTTTGTCTTATCCATCCTTGAATTTTAACACAAGTTTATAGAATCTTTTGTAAAATATGTTAAATTAAATAAATTTAATGACTAAGATGTCATGCAGTGAAATGTCACTGCAGAGGAGGCCATCTTCCTTAATTAAGGAATAGGGATCATTAGTCTTGTGTAGGAAGCATATTTTGGTACTGTATGGATTAAAGGTGATCAGATATGTACGTTATTTATTTTGTTTTTACATTTGCTATTTAATATTTGTTACAGCTATAGGCTTACAATTTTGCAATTTAATCTTGTCTGCATATTGTTTTCTTTTTTGGGAATGTTTCTGAGATGAATTATCATGTTCTCCCGGAACAATTTTTGGGATTTAATATAGTTTTTTAATATAGTTTTCTCTTTGGGATATGTCTGTGAGATGAACTATCATGTTCTTACTGAACATTTTCTCACTTCCTGTGGTGCAGTCTTGCATTGCTTAGGTGGAAATATCTTGATTCATGTTGGAAGACTTGGCATTTTTCTTCAGGAGAAAGTAGTGGGCTGCATTGTACATACGGAAGGATTTTTAGAGGTCAGAATCACCTATGCTTCAGATTGGACTTTTCACCTTTTATGAGAAGATTTTACATGTGAAAGTCATTTTCACGGCCTGCACATATATCTGCAAGAGAATGTCGAAAAAGTGTTGTCACCCATTCTTCAACTAATAAAGGGGAATTTGCAAACAATTTACTAGTTGGTTTAGGTTGTACTGTTTAAATGGTCTAATACAAGATATTTGTTAAGTTTCACTTTTGCCAAAGGAGTAATCTTTTATTGCAGGATCTAGTTAATATTCCAAAGGGATTTCATGTAATTATTGGGAATTTAAACCGCTTAATACTATCTCCTTTTAGTGAGATAAATGTTTAATAATTTTTGTTAGACTATAATTTTAGTAATGCAAATTAGTATTAATAACATTATCTAACTAGGACCTGTATTTTATAATAATTTTCTAATGCATCAGCCAAATTGGGTACTTTCATCCTTTAAGTCTAAGGGAGGATTTGAGTTCATGTTATAATATTTATATTCAAGTTATGTCTTTGTCTTTTATTGCAACAAAAAAAGACAATTCATAATGACTACTGACCGTGGAACTTAATACATAAGTATTGTTTACATCTCTCAAAGTTTTAGGATTTGAACATAATTGAAGGGTTCTTTAAGGGGTGGTTTGTTTCCAACCATGAAAACACTTCACAAATGCTTTGATTTTACTCATTTAAATGCAAAAAAAAAAACCGTCTTTTTTCTTGTGCGAAAAAAAGTAGAGTTAAAAATTTTAAACATATTATATAATTATTTTATAAATAAATATTATATAATCAATTAATATATAATGTATAATTAATGTTTAAATTTTTTTAATTAATATATATATATATATATATATATATATAATTTTGTTTATTGTTATTATAATAAATAATAAAAAAATTATATTAAAAAATGTAATAAAATACTAAATAAAATTATTAATAACAAATAATTTTTTTTAATTTTTTTAATAATTCAAACAATCTCATTTTCTCCTCTATTATATATATATATATATATATATATATATATATATATTTTTTTTTTTATTATTTTTTTTTATTTTTTTCAATCCCATAAAAAATTAGACATCAAAATTTCTTTTGGAATCTGGACGATGGTTACCATACCGAAGTGTTATATGGTTTGATAGATTATAAAATGAATTTGATTTCATGTAACCAGTCCATTCATTCCTACATTTTTTCACAATTCAAAGGATTATTTCACTCTATTAGAGACTCATGAAATTTTATCCACTTTCACTAATTTCCCTATAAACCAAACCAATTCTCACCTTTTATGCTTATAAGACAGGAAAATATTTTAAAGTCTGTGTTGGTAACAAAACATAATAACTTGATAGGAGAGTACAATTGAACTAAACATAAATAAAAAATTCAGTAATAAATAAATAATTTCAACTGAATTGATTTAAAAATAGCATATTCGTAATTTGATTGTATTGGTTCACATTGCAGATGAGATAAGGAAACAGCTTTCATATCAACGAGAGAAAACAAAAATGGCATCCAATTCTTTTCATTAAGTAGGAAATAGCAGTCCCTCTTTTGTCTTTTCCAGCCCACCTTATCTAATCCCGTCGTGGACACGTGTCGCCCTTGATCATCACTTCGGCGACTAAAGCGACGTCGTTGTTCCGCTGGGATATTTTACCTCTGACGTTCGGAACACGCACTTCACACTCGGTTTCACAGTGCACACTTAAGACGGAAGAGAAGAGATAATGGCGGGTTTTGGCGGGAAAAAAATACACCAAATGATCGTGGGTTTCGGCGGCAGTGGCTTCGGCCAGGTTGCCATCGCTGTCGCCGTCTCCTTCCTCATCCGCGTCTTTTCCGCTCCCGGCCCTGCTCTCTTGCCGGAAAACGACCCTGATGATACGCCGGAAAACGGTTCTGACGACGCCGAAGCCCCGGACGCCGGCAAGGTCACACCGGTCACAATCAGATGGAGAAACATCAATTGCTCCCTTTCCGATAATTCCTCCAAGTCCGTGAGTTCCTGTTTCCTTCTATTTTTTAATGCTAGCTAAAACACTGTTGATTACGGTCGAGTATAACAGGCTTTGGATCTTTACTGTAATTAATCTGTAAATCATTTCGTTACATTGCACCCAGCATTTTGGTTCAACCTTTGTAATTTGCGTAGTTTCACATCAACCCTTGTCTCAGTTGCATAGGGATTTGTTGATTTTTTTTTTTTTTTGGTTTATCTTTAATAATTTGGTGATGATAGGAGGGTGATGCTAATGAATAGGTGAGGTTTCTACTTAAAAATGTGAGTGGAGAAGCGAGGCCTGGAAGGTTATTAGCCATAATGGGACCTTCAGGTTCAGGGAAGACAACGTTGCTTAATGTTCTTGCCGGTCAGCTCACAGCATCTCCTCGGTTGCATTTGAGTGGCGTTTTGGAGTTTAATGGAAAGCATGGTTCGAAGAACGCGTACAAGTATGCTTGTTTCTTTGTGAATTGTATTTTCTGTACTTTTTTTTTTATTGTTTTTTTTAGTTGCTTGCTAAGAAGAGATCTATTAAGATGTTTTCCTTATTGTTGTAGGTTTGCATATGTGAGACAGGAGGATCTCTTTTTCTCGCAGCTCACTGTGAGGGAGACTTTGTCTCTTGCTACCGAACTTCAGCTTCCCAACATATCTTCTGCTGAAGAGAGGGATGAATTCGTGAACAATCTCCTTTTCAAACTAGGCTTGGTGAGATTGCTTTGTATCCCGGAACTTGTGTTGGTGCAAAGTGGGTACTGCTAGTATGTTGGATTAGAGGAACATTTTTAATAGGCTATAGTGCAATCTTTTACATTTTCCTTGAAGAATCAATTTCAATTCATCCACTGTGATCAACTACCTTACATGATTTTTTTTCAGCTTTCCTCGTTCAAATTAATGACTGAAAATGTGTTGCACTTGCTGGATAATCCTATGTTACTGATTCTCCCTTGTGCATCTGTATGCTTTTTCTTTAAAAGGTTAGTTGTGCTGATACCAATGTTGGTGATGCAAAAGTTCGAGGAATTAGTGGTGGTGAAAAGAAACGTTTATCCTTGGCATGTGAACTACTTGCTAGCCCATCTGTTATATTTGCTGATGAACCCACAACAGGTGATCGCAATCTTGCAGAACTTGCTTTTGAATTGAATTTGAACTTTGCATATGATATAATGTAGGTGTGTGGCCGGTAAAGGAAGAATATATGTTACATATAAATAAATATTAAGAAATAGTTTAGGGAGATACGTTTTTCTAAAATTGACATATACTTAAGGGATGTCTTACATTTTAATTTATATAGCATATAGCATGCACAAATACACCTTTTTTTAACCTTTGATGATTTTATCACAAAAGTCCCGTTTTCTTTTTTGTATCTTTGATGTAATATTGTGTAAATGGATTTTCCCAACCAGTAGCTGCTTCAAAATGTGGTCAATTTTTACAGACAATTATAACATCTCTATCTTTGCATATTTTATCACGAAGTTGCTTTCTGTGCTTTCAGGTCTTGATGCCTTCCAGGCTGAGAAAGTCATGGAAACTCTCCAGCAACTTGCACAAGATGGTCATACTGTTATTTGTTCTATACATCAGCCAAGAGGTTCAGTGTATAGTAAATTTGACGATATTATCTTGCTAACTGAGGGTTCACTTGTTTATGCGGGTCCTGCTCGTGATGAGCCACTGACATACTTCTCAAAATTTGGGTTATCATCTTAACCTTATTTATATGATGCCATTATACATTCTCCACACTAGGAATTCTCTTAAGTCTCAATATTATTTTATTTAAGAATTATGGCTCAGTTAGTTTCATATTCTATTTAACAATTTTTTTCTTTGTAACTGACTTCTTTATATTCAGTTGATAATGCATCCATTTTTGTCTATTATTCGACAATCTTTATTTAAAATGTTGCACTTCTAGAAAATTCTAGAAATCCAGACTTCAACCTTGCCAGAATTTCAATTGTAGTATTTACATTTAACTAATGGTTTAATCAATTCTTTGCTTCTTATTGGTAGCAACAGTGTAATAAGCTATATTCTTGGAGTAATACCATGCTTCTGTTGTTACCTTACGTGTTTATTTTCAAAAGCAGTCTGAGTTATATGAATGAGAGGGTCATTATCACATGTCTAAGGACTTGCTAGCAAAGTGATAATGGTATTAATTGAATGCTTATGAGCATAATTGGAATATCTGTATTTTTCTGTTAAGTGAAAGTATATTTTGCAATAGTCTGTTAACCTTTTCTTCATTGTATAATTATTTAACCAATCTGTGCTCATTCAATCAATCCAAAAGCGTAGTCCCTATCTTCATACTGTTTGTTTGTAGCAAATATCTGAATTGGAGTAAGAAAGAGTGCATTGAAATAATTTTATATTATTTTAAGAGAGTTTAATAGGCATGTGTTGTCATTGTAAGTTTTTACATTATGAACCAATCATGAGCATCCTTAGTGTACGACTTTAAGGTAATTATCATAAAACTTAACAAGATTACTGCAGATGGCGGTTTGTGATTTGATGGCAAAAGCCTTAATATTGCTAGTGCTTATGCTATTTATTCTTTTATCTATGACTTTTTTACTGTCTGTTATAAATAATTGGTTGGTAACTGTCTATGTAACAGGTACCAGTGCCCAGATCATATAAATCCTGCTGAATTTTTGGCTGATCTTATATCGATAGACTACAGTTCTGCTGACAGTGTCTATACCTCTCAAAAAAGAATTGATTCTCTTGTTGAGTCATTTTCACAAAGGCTATCTAGAGTTATATACGCAACTCCAATTACTGTAAATGATCTCTCTAACGGTAGAAAGAAAACCAGTCAGAGGAAAGTAGCAATGAAGAAGGGAGTTTGGTGGAAGCAATTTTGGTTGCTCCTTAAAAGAGCATGGATGCAGGTATTGCCTTTTTTAACTTGTTGTCTGGATTCCCTTTGAATGAAAGAGTGTGGATAAATTGCTTGATAGTACCCATATAAAGTTTTTCTTCTTGCCCAAATTTAATTATCCTAAGACTCTGAGATTTCCCTAACTCATTTGGCAAGATATAATTACAAAAATGGGATTACTATTTATTGTTTTCGCATCTTGTATGTTGGGTGCTTAAATTATTTATTTTCTCCATATTACAGATCAACATTTTTACTAGATATATGATGAAACTTATTTCTCTTTCATTGAATTCATAATTGTCTGGCTGATTAGGCTTCCCGTGATGTACCTACAAACAAAGTTCGGGCAAGGATGTCAATTGCATCAGCAATTATCTTTGGGTCAGTATTTTGGAGAATGGGAAATTCTCAGACTTCAATACAAGACAGAATGGGATTGCTTCAGGTTTGTGATGTTCTTGATTTACGTTGCTTGTTTCTCATATTGGCTTGCGGTTAACATACATTATAGAACAACTAGGAAATATTTCTATGCTACATATGCAATTTTATTCTACAATGTGGTAGGCACCAATGTACAGAATATGATGTTTCAGATAGGTAACAAGAAAGGGAGAAATAAAATAATGCTTCTGTTATTGGTGATTGAATTACAAACAAAAAACATAGAGGAACCCTCAAGGTTTCTCCTTCAGGCCTTTACTAAGGGTTACCCTGTACACAACTGTGCTAATGCTCTGTTCTCCAAAAACTAATAAAACTGAATGACCTCTCTACACTTACATTTCCCTATTTATCTATCTAATGATTATCTCTGTTAAGGTTCCAACATAAAACCAATTGGTAATATGTGGAGTAGTCTAACATGTATTTAAACCATATCAAATGACATGAGGTAGGCGATGTGGGACTTTCAACACGCCGCCTCCAACGAAGTCTGTCGGCGTTGGCTCTGATATCATGTTAAGATTCCAACATAAAACCAATTATCAATATGTGGAGTAGCCTAACATGTATTTAAATCATACCAAATGACATGAGGTAGACGATGTAGGACTTTCAATACACTCAAAATGTCATTGCTAATATTTTTTTTTTTTTGTCTTCCCTTTATTCTTCCAACTTCCAAGCAACCCTTCTTTCTTGACTAACACTGGTTGAAGAAAATCATTACAGTCATGTATATTGTTTTCTGTTGTGGGATTAATTATGGATATTAGAATGATCTTCTACGAGGTAATATCTACAAGTTTTTGTCTTCAGAGAACTTGCTTTGATAATAAACCTTTGACTTTTGGTATAGACAGCTTTCTTTGCATGTGAATAAACTGCATATATCTTTTCAAAACTGTGCACTAGAATGTTCACTCATCACTTATTTTATTTGTTTGTCATATTAGTTTAGTTTATTTTGCAAGGTCATTCATAAAAAAATAGTCAGATTTTTGCTGACTCTACAGGGATAGTGTTATCCTAAATCTAGTACACATTATTATTTGAGTTCCATTTTTTTATTATGTAATTGTCTTGACAATCACTTTGAAATGCTTTAAACCCAAATGTTTTGTTATCCACATGACAAATTCAGTTGGCTAAGTTTGCTTTCCTTAATTACATGGTGAGGCTCACAGGTTACTGCAATAAACACAGCTATGGCTGCTCTCACAAAGACTGTAGGTGTGTTTCCAAAGGAACGGGCTATTGTAGATAGAGAACGTGCTAAAGGCTCATATTCCTTGGGTCCCTATCTGTTCTCAAAATTGTTGGCCGAGATTCCCATTGGAGCAGCATTTCCATTAATGTTTGGCACTGTTTTGTATCCAATGGCACGTCTTCATCCTACTTTGCAGAGGTCAGTTTCTATCTTGGGCTCTACAAGCTGTAGTTTGAATCAAATTTTCATATTTTACTTTTTGTTGGGGTGTTGGATTGAAAACTTCTATAATTTTTTAGATTATGAGTACACAGAAATGTGCATGATTTTCTAAGCTGTCCTTCACATAGGGGGTGACCAGCGAATGTTCTTTTTCCCTTTTCTCTTGATCTCTTTTGTATTCATTATATAAAGAAAAAAAAAATGCAAGTCTCAATGGGGGGGGGGGAGTTTTATTCTTTATGTTACCATCTCTCCGCTCTCCTCCTTTCCACCTTTATCCTTTTGAGAACTTTATTGCTGTAAATTCTTCCCATTTCTTATAATTAACTTATTAATTTGATGTTCTAGATTTGGAAAGTTCTGTGGCATTGTCACAATGGAATCTTTTGCTGCATCTGCTATGGGTCTTACTGTTGGTGCTATGGTTCCAACCACTGAAGCAGCAATGGCAGTAGGTCCCTCTCTCATGACAGTTTTTATTGTTTTTGGAGGCTACTATGTTAATCCAGAGAATACCCCAATCATCTTCCGTTGGATTCCTAATGTTTCTCTGATTAGATGGTAAGCTCATTTCTGATTTGTGAGTGAGCAGTTGGAGTTAGTTAACTTCAACTAAATAGCTTGTACTAGGAAACAGAACTTTATTGAGCTAAATATCCTTGTCGAGTTTAATAATGGTTTCCTTTGCTCTGATACTAATGATGACCAAATTGGTTTATGCACACTCTTTCAGGGCTTTTCAGGGACTTTGTATCAATGAATTTAGAGGTCTTCAATTTGACCATCAACATTCATTTGATATTCAAACTGGAGAACAGGTGAGAGTAGAATCATGGATCTTTCATTTCAATGGGAATTAAGATCAAGTTTGATAGAATTGGAAAAAAAGGACACATTGTGACCTCTGGACATCAAAACTTCAGAGAAATTTTTTGAAGTATTAAGAAAAATACTTAAAAGGAAACAAAACTGGGAAACATTGTTTCTTTTGGGTTTTTGACTTAGATGTATGAGTGAGGGTGGAAAAAAGGCCTGCCTGAAAGAAAAGACTAGTCACCATCAGTTTGAATCAACTTGTATTTTATAATATTATTGAACTGTAGTTGTTGCTTGAGTAGAAATGCTTTTATTCTCTCTCCATCATATAAATGGTAATTTAGAGTATTAACCCGGACTTATGGTATACTCTCATTCAACCATTTCTGTTAAGATGAAATTAAATTGTGATCTGTTTTCATCTCTTGGATAACTGTTTTGGTATTGCACCACAGGCGCTAGAGCGAATTTCCTTTGGGAAAAGTAGGATTAGGGATACGGTGATAGCGCAAAATAGAATACTACTATTTTGGTATTGCACGACCTATCTTCTCCTCGAGAAAAACAAGCCCAAATACCAGCAACTTGAAACCCCTATTGACGACAACAAACCGCTTTTAAAACTTGAGGAGCTAAATTCTGAACAAGTTGATGAGACACTTGAAGCAACGCCTGTCGGCCAAGTTGATTCCAACCAGCCCCTTGAGTCACCTGGAGAAGATCTTGTTGGCCCTTTTGTCCTCCAAGGTTTGTAATCAGCTGGGCCTACTGCTGTTCTTATCAGATATTCATCTATTTATTGATTTATCTAATACAGGTTCTAAGTAGAAAGATACTTTTGCAAAGGATGACCAGCAAATACTGAGACAGTAAGCCGGGTCCAATAGAACAAGATCACAATGTATTGGACAACGAAAACATCAGCTAATGCTTACAGGATGTTAGTTTTTTGGTCGAATTACAGGCTGTTAGATGTAATAATAAACAGTGATGATGGATAATCCTTGACTGTCTCATGTTTGGTTCATTTGATTATAGTGTTTATTATCATTCAATGATCAGAGTTTATGTGGAAATCATCCATGAGATGGGTTTTTCTTGATTGTTACTACCGTAACCAACAATTCTTGAAATTTGAGGTTGGTCACAGGTTTCCTTCTATGAACTTAGCTTTGAATTACATTGGCCTAATGGATTGTTTCTTACTACGCATGTTGTGGGTTTATTTCCCATTCTTTTCTACCGTTGATAACGCGGCTTATTTTCCAATTCATAACATGATATTTGGGGGAAGAAGATGGAGGAAAAAAAAAAACTGCGGCTGATAAAAGGTGTTAGAAGACAAGAAAGAAACGGAGTCAAATTCTCCTGTCCTTTTACCGATTGGATTAAAGGAGAGGAATGGAGAATATCTATTTCAACGGTGTTTAGTTTACGTTAAAAAATATATTTTACACATTTAATTGATACTTTATTTATTGATTTTTTGTTTATATCAAACAATAAAATTACTTTAAAAATACCACACACAATTAATTAGAAATTGCAATAAATAATGTTGACAAATTTAGTATAGGCAATGAATTATAACAGGATGATAATTTAAAGTCGTTTTATAATTTCAGTATAAATATATATATATATATATATATATATATATATATATATATATATATTTCTGAATTTATAAGTAGATTATTGAAGTATTTTTAATTATGATAATTAATTTGTTTCTTTTAAGGAATCAAGCAAATAGTTTATTTTTCTTTCTTTTTAAAAGAACCCAATTTAATGATTTCTATTTTTTTATTCTTCTTTGTCTCATTTTTTTTTCGTTTAAACATAACTAAACAGACTGTTGGACGTTAAAAGTTTTGCTATTTCTTGTCCCCAAAGATTTGACCTTTGTCACGGTCGACTAAGTGGATTGCCATGGTATCTATCACAGGCTCAATATATCAATTTTTCTTTATTGTTTATTTTCATTTTAAACGTTTGATTATGAATAACGCATTTGTCTTATAGAGTTTTCCTGATTAGTTTTTATTACTAGAGATGCCATGTCAAATCACAACACAAAGCTCAATCTATGAAGTTATCGTGACTTGTATATATATATATATATATATATATATATATATATATATATATATATTATTTTTTTAATTTTAGTCGATTAATTTAGGAGTCATGTATTTTATTGTTATACTATTTTAATTTTAAATTTATTAAATAAAGTTTGCAAGTTTAAACAAAAATTCAAGACAGGAGTCATTGGACGCATCAGCCTTCAAATAATTTATTTGAATATGGCTTTTCAGCTTGGCCCAATCAATAATAATTGTATGATTAGCTATATTTATTGATATAAAAACTGAACTGTCTTCCAAATTGCAATATATTATGGCATAATATCAGGCAGTTATGAATACACAAACATAACAAATCCAAAAGGTAATGTAAGACAAGAAGGTTCTCTTAACGTAAGAAACATTCAAACTCAAATAAATGTACACGCTACCTTCATTCCCAATTATATGATGTGCCGTAATTCACAATCTCTCTTTCCTCGAATCTTACTTCATTTTACGCCCCAACTTCCACTCCACCGTCCTTTACTTTCCTAAACATGTAAATAACAACACCACACGCACTTCCACTTATATATATGCATCGCATTATCATCACCATAAAAGCATTCCAATCACAAAGCTTGCCATTGCAACATTTGATCACTTTTGAAGCATTTTCAGGTCCTAGAAAATGCAAGCAACCTCTCCATGTTCAAACCCTCTTTCAGCCAATTTTTTCAGGCGTAGTGCACCGCACAATTTGTTCTCTAGTCCCACCACCACTCGTAGGAGTCTAACCTATGCATCCAAAAGAGACTCGTTTGGGCACCATTATGATGGGAAGATGGTGGATGAGAGCATGATCCTTCTTAGAATGCGAATTCGTGAGATTGAGATGGTGGAAATGAAGGGTAAAGTTCCTTCGGATTGGAGTGAATGGGAGAAGAAGTATTTTGAAAACTACGGTTTGGATGTATGTGAAGCAGTTGGATTGTTGCAAAGAGTGTTGATCAACACTAGACCTTCTTTCGCACTTGCCATGTTAGCTTTGGTTATGCTAACCACGTCCATCTCAATGTTGCAACTTGTCTTTCATTTGGTAGGATTTGCCAAGGGAATCATGTGATATCTGGAACTACAAATGGGAAACGGAGCCATGGATTGAGGTCACAAATTATGGTGTGTAAAACTAATAAAATTCTTTAGCTAGTGCAAAAGTTAAAATACTATTCTTTGAAATTGAAAGTAATGTGTCATTTTCCCACTTTAGGAGCAAGTCACCATGACAGAGAAAAATGGCCCTGGAAATAAATAAAAAACACTTCAAATATTATCTTACAATTATAATATATACTATCACCATGATCGATTACAATTCTTTAGATGGAAAACATATGGTTTGTTACGTATTAATTCAGTAGGGTGATAGGTACATGTGTTCATGATTTCAACAAGTACAGGATAAAATTTTATCAGTTTTATTAATATTTATAAAAATCTTAAACTGGCTATGCAAGTTGAGATTGAAGAATCTGCAACTTTATTCACTTTCCTCGCAATATGCAGTCACTGTACACAACACTGTCAACAACTCCTTATGTTCTTAATCACCATTACCAGAGCAAAACAAGGATGAACATTTAGAAAATAAGAGCAAAAGCTGTTTTAGAGTTAAAAATACTCTCTAAGTAAAAAATAACAATAATTAAAAAATATTATATTTATGTGTTAAAGTATTTAATATAATTAATAATTTAAATTTAATTAATTAATATTTATAATTATAATTATAATATTTAATAATTCCTCGATTAATAGATTAAATAAATTAAACACAGACTTATATAACTATTGTCACAAGCTGAAACACATGAAAAAAAAAAAGAGTACACTTATTCTAGAATGATGAGTTTCGTACCAGACAAGAAATTAGTCCTTAACCCATTCTTACACGTAGTTTGCTTCATGTGTTGGTATGATGGTAGAGAAGGTCAATTTTTCTGGTCTCTTTGGACAACATGCATGGCTGTAATTGTACGCAGCTTTTTATACAAACATCATTTCTTCCTCAAAATTCAACACCAATTACGACAAGAACCACCTTAGAAGCCTATATAATATAATAACTTTAATAGATTCATCAATTGTTTTGGTTGGCAAAAGGTAATCAATAATATAATAATTATATGAGTCATTATGTGCTTAAAGAATAAGACGTATTTAAGTTTTACTTTTATATATAAATTGATATCTTAATCTATCATATGTTTAGACTACTCCATAAAAAAAAGTAATAAAAATTTTAAAATATTCAATTTAAAATATTATTTTATGTCTCATTTTAGACTAACGAATATAATAATTTTAAAAACTTACAAAATATAAAAAATATTTAAGATATATACGAATTGCGTTGAGTCGATTCTGGTCAACCTTATAATTTATTTCAGTTAAAAAATTTTGGGTTGAGTTAAATCAGATTTATATATATATATATATATATATATATATATATATATATATATATATATATATATTTATTCAATTCAATCCAACCAATTCGACTTTGATCTCATAAATTTAAAAAAAAATCATCAAAATTTAAATTTTAAAATAGACTAAATTATATATTATCTGAATAAATTAATAATTTAATATTTTTAAAATGTATATTTAATTAATATAATAACTAAACTAATTAAATAATAAATATATCATTAATATTAATAATGATTTAATTTATCCATCGTATTGGAGATTTAATTAGATAAAATCCAACCTAACCATAAAAGAAAAAAGAGTTAATGTCACATTTTGTTAATATATTTTATATTAAATAAGTGAAGTTGACATTTTGATTTATTTATTTTCCACGTTTACACACAACTGTTGATGCCGACAATAACCAAAAATGCATATATCAATATCTGCTTCCCATCACTTTGACAATTTCCTGTACACGTTTTAATTTCGAAGCAATTAATTTCCTGTAATACCTTCAACCACAATCTCAATCACAATGTTCATTTCATATAAATACATAATTACTCACAAGTCAACATGTCTGACTTTAATTATTTTCCTTTTTATAAAGGTTATGTAATGTTAATATAAAACATTCTAATAAAAATAAATTTATCTTAAAAAAAAATTGATCAATAATAGTAGTGTAAAGTTTTTATTTTTAAAACCAAATTTTCAATTTTTGTAGGAGAAAGAAACAGACAAATGTACTATATAAATGGAACAATTTATATTTGAATACGACTTTAAAACTACTCTACATAGATTTTGGATGCATAATTTTGATTTTCATTGATAAAAGTGGAGTAGTTGAAGGTTGAAATAGATAAATATAGATTATCCATGGAAGATTCTGATATCACATGTAAACCAACAACACTTATTCAAAGAGGAATAATAGTCTTTGCCATTAATATTCTCACGCAACCTTCATCAACCCTAATTACTGATAGATAAGATGCAGAGAACCTTAACCTCCAACAAACGCTGAATCAAAGTTGACATCATTAATAATAACAAATCGCCGTCCTCATTATTTTTTTCTCTTTCCATTTTTATACCAAAAGTCAAGCCTACCCTACGTTCTGCCCCATAACCTTCAACACTTATTCTTTCTTGTACTTTTACACTGTTTCGTTATTATTATTATTAGTAGTAGTATTAGTATTTAATCACAGGAATATTCCCTCTTGTATCACCAATAATGCAATCTTACTATCTTTCACATGCTTCACGCAAATTAATCCTCTACTTTTACACCATCTATCCAGTTACGTAGTTAGACTTTTTTCTCATGGATAATACATATAAAAATATTTTGAAGAAATTTTATACCGTAAAATTATCCTATTTTTAAAAAAATATATATACAATTTTAATATTATTTATAAATTATTTTTAAAAAATTAAATATATCTATAATTTATATGTATATTAATTTTATTTTATATAAATTTTTATTTATTTTTTGAATAATTATTTCATATTAAATTATATATAATTTCAATTCATATTCATCATATAAATTTTGTTGTTATTACTTTTTCTCATTTTCTATTCTATCAAAATTATTCTTCCAACCAAACACAAACTTTATATATATATATATATATATATATATATATATATATATATATATATATATATATATATATATATCATATTCATGTCATTCCCAAACCTTCCATTTTATAATTATCAAGTTGTGATTTAAAATAGTATAGAGAAGTTTGAGGAACTTTATGGTTACTCTATCTTCCATGGACACGCGTCACCGTTATGGATGGAAATAAAATCGCTTCTTCCCCGAAAGAATCCAACTACACTCTAGAAACGCGCTTTTACAAAGACATTAACTGTGGTTTAAATAAAATAAACACGGTTTTGCCGTATTACTTCTTCTCTAAGGTCCTTTCGTTGCCAAAAAAGGTAATCTAATAAGCCCAGCAAAAAGAACCTTCTTGCAATGCTTATAAATATTACATCATTCTTCTCCCACTCCCATCACCAAATCAACGTCTCACAACACAATTTTCCAAACTACACACACAAGAAATATGCAGTCCACTTCTTTGCTCAATTCCTCACAAATTTTCTTCCATCCAAAACCATGTTCTAATGGCAGGAAAACTAGCTCTTTATCTCCAATTAAGGCTTCCATGAGAGGCTCAGCAGATCAGAATTTCAGTGGAAGATTGGTCGATGAGGGCATGATAATACTGAGGAAGAGGATCCATGAGATGAACATGATTGAGAGGAACTATGAGCCACCTTCAGATTGGATGGATTGGGAGAAAAGCTGTTATACCAAGTATGACTCCATGGTATGTGAAGCAGTGGGAGTTTTGCAGACCCAGTTGATGAATACGAGGCCTAGTTTGGCTCTTGGGGCCATGGCTTTGGTTGCAATCAGTGTTCCAACTTCTTCTGCTGTGCTTTTTCTTCATCTGGTTGAGTTGGCTAAGACTGTTGTTGCCGGAGTTCATCCCTTCTAGACTAGAATATGGTTCATTAGATTTGTTGAATTGGTGGTTTGATATTTGGAAAAACCATTCAATTCATTTCAATACATGTATAGAATTGCAATTGGAAGTTGGAGCCAACATCAGAGATCACATGTTAGATTTTAGTTTTACCTATCAACTCATCTAATTACTAATGTTGTGATTTGAATCTCTTTATAATATAAGTTGCTTTTACTTGAAGAATATGTTCTCATCAGATCCCAAATATAAAATGTTGAAGGTGGTGATGAACTATGCTATTTTTCTTTCTTTCTTTTTTATCTTTTTCTTACTTGCTTAAAAGGAAATTCACCACAGCAAGAGGGTGTTTCTTAATTTCTTTCCCATGGAACAATTGATTCCATAAATCACAAGCATTCAAGCAGCATTACAAATCATACATCAGCAATTACTGAATCATGCATGTTATTTTTATTAGTTTTCTTGTTTGTTATTATGAAAATGAGATTTAGATCATAGATCTAAGATCTCAAAAATATAATATCATGTGTTTTAGTTGGTAGATTTGAAAATTCAATTCGAGATAAATTTTTTGAATTCGGAAAAGGTCCAATTTTAAAAAAGAAAAGTAAAAGAAAAACCATAAAAATTCATATGACACTGAATTTTTGCGGTTTTTTAATAAATAGGAGAATTATTTTCTTTTTAAATTTACCAAAATTAATAATTTTTTATAAAATTACGAATATAAGTGAATTTAGGTAAATTATGTTATTAAGTACTAAAACGGAGAAGTGTAACACTACTTTTATACAAATATAGAAGTAATACTATTACTACGAATTCTAATTTTATATTATAATTATTATTATAATAAATAATAATATATTTTATATTATTAATAATAAATTAAATAATAATAATAATAATTTAATTTATATTATTACAGTTATTATTTATTTTATTATTAAAATTAATATAATTATTAGGTGAATTATAATTATTAATATAATTATTATATTAATATTATTCAAATAAAATAATATAAAAATGAATTATTATTAATAAAATTAATAATAGTATTAATAACTATATTATTGCTAATAAAAATATTATTAATAATAAGATAATTCAATTAATAAATATAAGTTTATTATTATTATTTTAATAATAATGAAATAATATTAATAATGAATAATTATTAATAAATTTATATTTTATTAAATGATAATAATATTAATAACAAATATATAAATAAGTAATAGAATTATAATTATTAAAATAATTATTTTATTTTTAATATTATTTTTATTTTATATAATTATAATTATTAATTTATTTATTATTAATAATAAAATTGAAATAATATTAGTTATTATAATTATATTACTTTTAATAATATTATTTTATTTATTATTAATAATATCATAATATGAATTTAAATAATAATTTTAATAATAATATAAATTAAATTGTTATTATTATTATTAATATAAAATATATTATTATTAATTATAATAATTATTATAATATAAAATTAGAATTCCTATTATCCGGCACGACTTTTATATAAATTTTTCTTTTAAAAAATAAATAAATCGTGTTATAAAACGCGACATTTTCGTTAAGGGGCACACTTTTTTTAAATTCGTAATTTTTTTTTAATTTACCTCTTTTAGTAAATTAAAAAAAATGAATTTTGCATTCTAATGAAAGTTTAATATACTGCTTAAGTAATTAATTTTATAACTAAAAATATCAATATTAGACAAAGGAAGTTCATTTATATAACACAAAATATAGTAATTCATATATGAATTGTTTCTTATCTTCTTAAAAATATAAAATAAAAATTTATAATATTATATTATTTCAAATAACTTACAGTTAATTTTTCTCTGTCAAAAGTTTTTTTAAAAAAATTAAAAATTAATTCTTTTTTTACTTTCTCATTATTTTAATCTACTTATTTTTTAAGTTGTTTGATCAAACAAATATCAATCAAAATTTAAATTAAACACTTATCAAAAAAATTTAACCACTTATCATCTCAAAAAAATCCTCCAATTCAATAGTCAACGTTCAACGCACATACTCAAATAATTTATATAAAAAATAAAATAAATAGTCATTATTAATATGCATTAATTGATATAAATATTATATATTTATTATATTTATAATATACTTATTTTCTGTATAATATAGATTAAAAAATTAAAAAATAAGAATAAAAAATTTAAATATTCGTTTAAAAATAAGTAAAACCTATTTTATAATAATAAAATACATTTTTTATATATTTAATAAATAATTGTATAAAATATATTATTGTATACATAGTTTTTATACTAAGTGTAAAATTAATAAAACAATAATATTTTACCTATTACTTATTAAAAATTTAAATTTGAATGTTTACAGTAAAAAATTTAACAAAATTTGTAATTATATTTTCATTTCTTATACACAATTAAATTAAAACTTATCACTAAAAATAAAATAAAATTAGTTGGAAGATGTTAAGAATAATTTTTTTGGATATAAAAATATTATCACAATAATTACAAATTTTAAAAATTACAATAAAGTAATAGCTTTTTAAGTAATTTATTAAACAAACATATAATTATTTTATCTTGTTAATTGAGTCTAAATCTTTATTTATTAAAGATAATTACGCATTAAATTATTTTAGACATGTAGTTAAAAATACTAATTAGATAAATGAAACTTCTTTTTCTATTAAAAAAATAGTAAAAATTTTATCCCCATAAACAAAAAAATATAATTTACTTTCATTAAAAAAACAATTATTATTAGAAATTATCATATTTTATGAAAATATTTTGCAAATATTTTATAAAAATTACAAAAATAAGTTCACTATAAATTTAAATATTTTTTTACAAGAAAAATTATAAAAAAATTAACTTTTTAATAGTGTATTCAGCATATTATATTTTTTTAATTTTAGACACAAATTTTAATAAAATACTATATAATTTTAAATATATATATATATATATATATTACAAAAATTAATTAAAGACTTTTTTTCATAAATACGTTAATTAATATATATTTTTAAATACAAAATTTATATAATTTTTTATGTAATTAAATATATATATTAAATACTTAAAAGATGTTGCAGGTAACATCAATTGTCCCGTGACAGAGGTCGAGTGGGCCGAGTCACAATCGAATCGTGGCGTTTGAGCTATTACTCTTGAGTAAAAAGAGTTGCGTTATGACCAACGACTATAGGTTTTGGTATAATAGTAAGCGCTCGATCCTAACAATTATTATCAGAGTCAAGGTCATGAGTTTGATTCTTGGTGGACAATTATTAAACAAAAGATTTTTGCGGGTTGCCCAATTGTTCTAGGTCAAGTCACTCAAATTTTTTTTTAATGAACAATATTTTTTCCTATAAAAAGTCCATTCCATAAATTCCTCGTAGGACATTTGCTAGTGATAAGCATTTGATCTTATCAAAAGAAACCTAATTTCTTTTTAATAAACAATAGTTTTTGCTATAAAAAGTTCATTCCGTAAAATAGGATAAATTATGTGTTTTCTATATATAAACAAAACTCTTCAATCATATCCTATTTTAAAAACATATATTATGTATGAAAAATATTAATTTCTTTCGTATGTTAATATTATATTCAAATAAAATTTATTACTAAAATGATAATATTTTCATAATATTTTATTTACATGAAATGATAATTTGAGTGAGATTTCTCATTTGCTAATGATAAACGTATGATCTTAACAAAAGAAATCTAATTATTTTTTAATGAACAATATTTTTTACTATAAAAAGTTATAAATTATTTGTTTTCTATATATAAACAAAACTCTTCAATCATATCTATTTTAAATTTTCATAATATTTTATTTACATGAAATGATAATTTGAGTGAGATTTCTCATAGGACATTTGCTAATAATAGCTTGATCTTAACAAAAGAAACCTATTTATTTTGTAATGAACAATATTTTTTCTATAAAAAGTTCATTCCATAAAATAGGATAAATTATTTGTTTTCTATATATAAACAAAACTCTTCAATCATATCCTATTTTAAAAACATTTATTATGTATGAAAAATATTAATTTCTTTCGTATGTATTTAATTATACAAAATTCTTCTATATTTTATATTAAATTAAATTACATTTTTAATAACTATTAACATTAATAAATAAAAAAAATTGTTAATATTATATTCAAATAAAATTTATTATTAAAATGGATAATATTTTCATAATACTTTATTTACATGAAATGATAATTTAAGTTGAGTTAATTATTAACAAAATAAAAAAATATATATTTATTTTATTATTTGTTTCTTTATTTTAATCTTAGTCTTAAGTTAAAAAAAAAAACAGCACTTCAAGTTCATCTAATTAAAATTATATTAATAATCAAAACGATTAGAGAAAATTATTTTAAAATTAAATTTGTAATATATAGAAAAATAAGCAGATTATATATATATAAATGAAGGGTTACATGACATAAAATCACATTGTATATAACATGGACTTTTGAAAATAAATTATATATATTAAAATGATAATTAAATATAAAATTTATTTTATCTTAAAATATTTATGTATCATATTTTATATGTTTTATCTTAATTATGTTTTCATAAAAAAATATTTATTTATTTTTTCATCATATTTAATAAGTTTAAATTCACACTTGATTATTAAAACAAAATTATATTCAAATATAATTTGATTATAAAAAATATATAACTTTATCATAAATTTAAACTATTAATCAGATTTAAGATTAATGGTCCACTCGCATATATTTTATATTTGTTACCTAATTTTTAAAAAACATTAATTTAAGTTGAGTTAATTATTAACAAAATAAAAAAAGTATATATTTATTTTATTATTTTTATCTTAATCTTAAGTTAAAAAAAAAAAAACAGCACTTCAAGTTCATCTAATTAAAATTATATTAATAATCAAAACGATTAGAGAAAATTATT